GCTAAATAAACAAAAAAAGACCACAACTTTTGAAAAAACAACATTTTTTTTAATTTCTGTTAGAAATTAAGTAATTTTTCTTCTTCACTGATGGTTACTGATAGGCTGAACTGATGAGGTGGCACTGATAGGCTGAACTGATGGGCACTGATAGGTGGTGGGTGGCACCTATCGGCACTGATGAGGAGGCACTAATGAGCACTGATAGGCTACACTGACAGGCACTGTTGCGTCGTACTCTTTCCATTTTCAGATGATGGATTGAACAGTGCTCCGCGAGATGTTCAAAGCTTGGGAGATTTTCTTATAACCTAACCCTGCTTTAAAACTTCTCCACAACTTTATCCCTGACCTGTCTGGTGTGTTCCTTGCCCTTCATGATGCTGCTTGTTCACTAATGTTCCACTAGATTTTAGTTATGGGTATCAGAGTAAAGGGGGATGAATACAAATGTACGCCACACTTTTCAGATATTTATTTGTCAAAAATATTGAAAACCATTTCTCATCTTTTCCTCCACTTCACAGTTATGTGCCACTTTGTGTCGGTCTATCACATAAAAGCCCAATAAATACATTGACGATTTTGGTTGTAACATGACAACATGGGGAAAATTTGAAGGGGTATGAATACTTTTTCAAGGCGCTGTATCTGATTGCCTTCCGGGGAATCAGGAAGAATTTTTTCCCTCATTGGACCAAACTGGATCATGCGTCACAGAGGTTTTTTTGCCTTCCTCTGGATCAGCTGTGGTAAAGGATTGTGTATATGGAGGTTTTCTATTTCTTTATTTTTCTATTGGTTGAACTAGATGGACTGGTGCCTTTTTTTTCAACCTATGTAACTATGAAAATTCTTACATCTACTTACCTAAACCCCCCTCCCCGTATCATTGGACATGGTTCTGTGTTCCACCTACCTGATCATTCTGTGAGATCTTGTGATCTTCCTGTGTGGCATCTTGTGAGTAAAGAGGACTGGGACATCTCTCTGGAGTATTTCTATCGTTGGATCTAACTGTAAGAAACATGTTTATATCCATATGATCATAAATATTAGAGATGTGGAGTGCAGAGTCAAAAATAAGTATTACAGGGTGCAGGAGCCAGTAATTCGGAGTTCAGGGGTCAGGAGTTACTAGCGCAGAGCGCAGGCTCAGGAGTCAGTAATGCAGGGTGCACGATCAGGAGTCAGTTATACAGGGTGCAGGATCAGGAGTCAGTTATGCAGGGTGCAGGATCAGGAGTCAGTAATGCAGAGTGCAGGATCAGGAGTCAGTTAAGCAGAGCGCAGGCTCAGGAGTCAGTAATGCAGGGCGCAGGATCAGGAGTCAGTAATGCAGGGCGCAGGATCAGGAGTCAGTTATACAGGGCGCAGGATCAGGAGTCAGTTATACAGGGCGCAGGATCAGGAGTCAGTAATGCAGAGTGCAGGATCAGGAGTCAGTTATGCAGGGTGCAGGATCAGGAGTCCGTTATGCAGGGTGCAGGATCAGGAGTCCGTTATGCAGGGTGCAGGATCAGGAGTCAGTTATGCAGGGTGCAGGATCACGAGTCCGTTATGCAGGGTGCAGGATCAGGAGTCAGTTATGCAGGGTGCAGGATCAGGAGTCAGTTATGCAGGGTGCAGGATCAGGAGTCAGTTATACAGGGTGCAGGATCAGGAATCCGTTATGCAGGATCAGGAGTCCCTTGTGCAGGATCAGGAGTCCCTTGTGCAGGATCAGGAGTCCCTTGTGCAGGATCAGGAGTCCCTTGTGCAGGATCAGGAGTCCCTTGTGCAGGATCAGGAGTCCCTTGTGCAGGATCAGGAGTCCCTTGTGCAGGATCAGGAGTCCCTTGTGCAGGATCAGGAGTCCGTTGTGCAGGATCAGGAGTCCGTTGTGCAGGATCAGGAGTCCGTTGTGCAGGATCAGGAGTCCGTTGTGCAGGATCAGGAGTCCGTTGTGCAGGATCAGGAGTCCGTTGTGCAGGATCAGGAGTCCGTGGTGCAGGACAAGGAGTCCGTTATGCAGGGTGCAGAATCAGGAGTCCGTTATGCAGGGTGCAGAATCAGGAGTCCGTTATGCAGGGTGCAGATGAAGTCGTTATGCAGGGTGCAGGATCAGGAGTCCGTTATGCATGGTGCAGGATCAGGATTCCGTTATGCAGGGTGCAGGATCAGGAGTCAGTTATACAGGGTGCAGGATCAGGAGTCAGTTATACAGGGTGCAGGATCAGGAGTCAGTAATGCAGAGTGCAGGATCAGGAGTCCGTTATGCAGGGTGCAGGATCAGGAGTCCGTTATGCAGGGTGCAGGATCAGGAGTCCGTTATGCAGGGTGCAGGATCAGGAGTCCGTTATGCAGGGTGCAGGATCAGGAGTCCGTTATACAGGGTGCAGGATCAGGAGTCAGTTATGCAGGGTGCAGGATCAGGAGTCAGTTATGCAGGGTGCAGGATCAGGAGTCCAGTAATGCAGGGTGCAGGATCAGGAGTCCGTTATGCAGGGTGCAGGATCAG